AAGCACATAGATGAACACAGGTACATAGATGAACACAGGTACATAGATGACAGAGGTACATAGATGACCACAGGTACATAGGTGACACAAGTACATAGATGAACACAGGTACATAGATGAACACAGGTACATAGATGACAGAGGTACATAGATGACCACATGTACATAGGTGACCACAGGTACATAGATGACCACAGGTACATAGGTGACCACAGGTACATAGATGACCACATGTACATAGATGAACACAGGTACATAGATGACACAGGTACATAGGTGACCACAGGCACATAGGTGACACATGTACATAGATGACACAGGTACATAGATGACCACAGGTACATAGGTGACCACAGGTACATAGATTACCACATGTACATAGATGACCACAGGTACATAGGTGACCACAGGTACATAGGTGACCACATGTTCATAGGTGACCACAGGTACATAGATTACCACATGTACATAGATGACCACAGGTACATAGGTGACCACAGGTACATAGGTGACCACAGGTACATAGATGACCACATGTTCATAGGTGACCACAGGTACATAGATGACCACAGGTACATAGATGACCACAGGTACATAGGTGACCACATGTCTATGTACCTGTGGTCACCTATGTACCTGTGGTCATCTATGTACCTGTGTCATCTATGTACATGTGTCACCTATGTACCTGTGGTCACCTATGTACCTGTGGTCACCTATGTACCTGTGGTCATCTATGTATCTGTGGTCACCTATGTACCTGTGGTCACCTATGTACCTGTGGTCATCTATGTACATGTGGTCATCTATGTACCTGTGGTCACCTATGTACCTGTGGTCACCTATGTATCTGTGGTCATCTATGTACCTGTGTCACCTATGTACCTGTGGTCACCTATGTACCTGTGGTCATCTATGTACATGTGGTAATCTATGTACCTGTGGTCACCTATGTACCTGTGGTCACCTATGAATGACCACAGGTACATAGGTGACCACATGTACATAGGTGACCACATGTACATAGATGACCACAGGTACATAGATGACCACAGGTACATATGTGATCACAGGTACATAGGTGACCACAGGTACATAGGTGACACATGTACATAGATGACCACATGTACATAGGTGACCACAGGTACATAGGTGACCATGCTGTAGTCCTGCTCTATCATACCTGAAGCTGATGCAGTTGACAGCTACTGAGTCCAGACATTCTAGATGGACAGCTAGTGATGGCTCTCCGACCAGCTCCGGGTCCATGGCAGCTGTTTGCTCCTCATCCATGAATCTACACCTGTACAGATATCCGGTATCGTAGCCATCCTGTAGAAAACACACAAGATCTGTTACCGTCAATGCTGCTGCTGCTGCTGCTGCTACTACTAGTGCTGCTACTGCTGCTACTGCTGCCGTTGTTACTAAAGTTGCTGCTGCTGCTGCTGCTATTCCAATAGTAATGCCAGTAAGAAAACATGTGACGTGTTTTTCAGTAGAGAATGGTGTAATTGCAGTGAGATGAACGGTCATGTAGCTCAACACGCACCATGGTCAACCAGAACATGCCGGGCGTGCTGGAGTAGAAGCCCTGCAGGATAGCGCTGGGTTCATCCGGGTAGAACAATGGCTCCTCTTCTTCCTCCTCCTCCTCATCTACACACAACAGCCCCCGCATCATACATGAGAACATACAGTCACACACACAGAGAATGCTATATAGAGAGAGGAGAGGAGAGGGAAAGAGAGAGAGAGAGAAAGAGAGAGAGAGAGAGACAGAGAGAGAGAGTTAGAGAGACAGTGAGTGAAAATTTTATATTCTAGAAGTCTTAGAGGAGGAACGAAGGGAATGATAGACAGGGATAAAGACAAAGATGGAGATATCAAAGAGAGCGAGAGAGGGTGGAGAGGAGTGAGAGAGAGAGAGAATTCTACTCCAGAAGGCTTAGATGAGACTTCTCCACACGTTATACACATATATGTGAACTGTTGCTGCATTGCTTCCTAAAGAACATACATGTCATAACTTCACCTTCTTCTTCCTCTTCGGGTTCCATGCCCTTTGCCTTCAACCGCTTTATCCTTTCCTCCTTCTCCTTTTGCCGCTTATTCTTCTCCTCTTCTTTTCTCTTTCTCTCCTCTGCTCTCTGTGTGCAAAAAAGGGGAATTTAAACTTGTAACTTTACGATGTTTCTGGCAGTTCTTCTGAGAAAAGTTCATGTTAAGGCTAATATTGTTTTTGACTGCGATCCCCATATTAACGTCCATCATGGGCTAGATTGGAGGGTCGCAGCTATACAGACCTTGATCTTAGACTTCACGCTCTTGAACGTGAATGTTCGCGAGTTGAGATTCGTCATGTGGTAGGTCTTCTTGCTGTCATGGTCGCCGTGCTTCGGTGCTGCCACCTCCACCACGCGTCCATCACAGCAGCTGATCAGCAGACGACTGTCCGACTGAAACGCGGCAACGCACAATCAACGATCACCGATCCGAGTGTCAAATTTGGGAAAGTCAAACTATTTTTAGGGAAGGGCGGTGGGTAAGTAATTGGTTAGTAGTTAGGGTAAGTGTTGCCTTGTTAGAGTAATTTAGGTTGCTGTGGCAAGTTGGAGAGAAATCAAAGAAACATTATTTCCTTCAGGAAACTGGAGAGTGTGGGGTCTCAAAGAAAGGATACCATCATAAAATTCTAGACAGATCCATTAAGCCACTGCATCCGTGTCGATAGAATCATGCAGCCGGTGATTGTCAGGGTGGTGGGATGCTGCGCATGCAATGATGTTCGCATACTTACAGACTCTGCAGGTGTCCAGGTGAGGTAGGTAGCTGAAGCTGGCACTGTGATGAAGCCCAGGGGACTGAGAGCATTATTTCCCACGTGGAAGAAGAAGATGGTGTTGTCAGCTCCCTGCATGGAGTAACATAACTATCTAGCGTATCGTGCAACAAATCATAACTACTGCAATAACAGATAACGATGCGTGCCTGTGAGCCTCTACCTCTACATCACCTCTTCCCTGTGCTCCTCCTCTCCCCCACTGCTCTCTCGGTTCCTTCCTTCCCTCTTCCCTCTCACCCTCCCCTCCCCTTTCCTCGTCTTATTTCCCCTCCCCTCCTCCTCCCCTTCCTTTTACTCATCCCCTCTCCCCTTCCCTGTCCTTTCCCTTCTCCCTTTCCTTTCGTTTACCCATCCTTCTCACCCATCCTTCTCACCCATCTTCACTCCCCTCCCCCCCCCTCCCATCACTCACGGCGGTGGCTAGCAGGCTGGATGAGGCATCGAGGGCGATGGCTGTGACACGGCCGCTGTGAGGCTTGTACACCTGTGTGAGCACCAGCTCGCTGCTGCCGCGTTGCTGCGACGATATGTCCTGCTCCACACGCTGCACGAGACTCAGCACACGCACCACGCCGTCGCTGAAGCCTGCAACCAGCGTAGAGCCGCGCCGGTCCACCTGCAAGGCAAGCATAGAGTCATAGAGCCGCGCCGGTCCACCTTCTACCTTCCTGTCCACGCGTACGCTACCTTCCTGTCCGCGCGTACGCTACTTTCCTGTCCGTGCGTACGCTACCTTCCTGTCCGCGCGTACGCTACCTTCCTGTCCAGGCGTAGGTGAGGAGGGAGTTCGTCGTTATGTTGCAGTAGCTTGCGGAACTGATGACGTAGCGTGTTGATCTTCCGTCGGCATGCTTGCTTCTTTGCCTCCGAAGCCTTCAGACATCGGTCACTCTCAGCCTTCTGTTTAGCATCCTCGATGCTGTGATAATTAGTCACAACAATTAATAATAATTATTTAACTATAATTAATGCACGGTAAAGTGCGTGAGCTGGCAGCCCCGCATGCTGCTAGCAGTGCAGAGTGAATCTTGTCATGACGTCACATCTTGTCAGTGTGAAGCAGGTGCCGCCGAATTTATCATCGTCGGTCTGATCGTTACCTGTAGTAGTTAGGATCATCAATGTCATCTATCTTCCTCTCTGCCACGTGTTTCTGGGGGAAGAAACGCGTGCGAATGTTAGCATCACGGTATTCCATACCTCTCCCATACACCACGCACATGCCGGTGTGGTGGTTATTCCTTACCTCTCCCTTACACCACGCATATGCCGGTGTGGTGGTTATCCCATACACCACGCACATGCCGGTGTGGTGGTTATTCCTTACCTCTCCCTTACACCACGCACATGCCGGTGTGGTGGTTATTCTTTACCTCTCCCTTACACCACGCACATGCCGGTGTGGTGGTTATTCCTTACACCACGCACATGCCGGTGTGGTGGTTATTCCCTACCTCTCCCTTACACCACGCACATGCCGGTGTGGTGGTTATTCCCTACCTCTCCCTTACACCACGCACATGCCGGTGTGGTGGTTATTCCCTACCTCTCCCTTACACCATGCTCGGGGCGCGTCTATTCAAGTCTGCCTCCATGCAGCGGTAGATAAACACGTTGCCATCGGCGCCCGTCGTCACGACGAAGCGACCGTCGTAGCCGTGGCGGACGCGCGTCACGTGACCGTAGCCATTGTCATGCATCGTCAGCGTCCACTGCACGCCTAGCTCGTCTGTAAACAAACAAACAAATAAACGCGTGTGAGATTCAATCACATGGCTGCTGGGACGTGATTCTCTCCTCACTGATCGACCCATTTCAATTTTCATGAACTTTTTAATTTACTACAGTTCTTTTTAATTTACTGAACATTTCAATTCCCGACCTTTTAATTCCCTAGATGAAAGATACTGTCACACTGATAACTAGCCTGTTCGATCACACTAGGCTGATAGTTATATCCCCTTGACAGCGTGAGTTTAGTAGAGAAGAGGAGGTCGCACTCACGATAATCCCTGGGCTTCCTCTCGCAGCGTCTGTATCCTCACGGCTCATTAGCGAGTCCCATCAGTAGCTGCCTGTTGTTCTCACTGCAATCAACGTCAGCAGCTGTGTTACACACTGTACACAGTCTCCGTCCACGATCACCAGTGTCTAGCTGGGGCGCTGTCCGGCGCGAACACCAGCAGGCAAGAGAGAATGCCATGAGCCAATGGTAAAGATCAATTACACAGGTAACATAGGTGAACGACAAGTAGCATAGATGAACACAGGTAGGTAGATGAACACAAGGTACATAGATGAACAGAGGTACATAGATGAACGCACATGTATCATAGTTGACCACAGGTTAGCATAGATGACCTAAGCACAGGCACAATAGGTGACCACAGGTCATAGATACCCACAGGTACATTAGATGAACCAGCAGTACTAGATGACGCCCAGGTACATAGGTGACAGACATGTGCACTATAAGGTGACCAATTAATGGATGACCACATTGTACATAGATGACGCAAGCAGGTTACATAGATGACCACAGGAGCATAATGTGCATCACAGGCATAGGCGTCCAGTACTGGGTGAAGTCCATGATAGTAGACCACAGTGCTACATGTACCATGGCCATCGGTACATAGGTGACCAAGTCATGGACATGCTGTAGTCTGCTCTATCATAACGCTGAAGCTGATGCAGTTGACAGCTACTGCGTCCAGACATTCTAGATGGACAGCTAGTGATGGCTCTCCGACCAGCTCCGGGTCCATGGCAGCTGTTCTGCATCCTGCATCAGCATGAATGCTACACACCTGTACAGATATCCGGCGTATCGTTTAGCCATCGCCGTAGAAACACAACACAGATCCTGTTACCGTCAATGCTGCTGCTGGCTGCTGCATGCACTACTAGGCTCTAGACTCGGCTGCTACTGCTGCCGTTGTTTACAAAGTTGCTGCTGCTTGCTGCGCTATCCAATAGTGAATGCCAGTAAAAGAAAACTAATGTGACGTGTTTTTCAGTAAGCAGAATGGTGTAATTGCAGTGAAGATGAAGCGGTCATGTAGCTCAACACGCACAGCCAATGGCTCAGACACAGTCAGAAAGCAAGCCGGCGTGGCTGGAGTAGAAGCTCCTGCAGGGTAGCGGCTGGGTTCATCCGGGTAGAACAATGGCCTCCCCTCTTCTTCCTCCTCCTCCTCATCTACACACAACAGCCTCCCGCATCATACATGAGAAACATGACAGTCAACACACCAGAGAATGCGCTATATAGAGAGAGGAGAGGAGAGGGAAAGAGAGAGAGAGAGAAAGAGAGAGAGAGAGAGACAGAGAGAGAGAGTTAGAGAGACACGTGAGTGAAAATTTTATTATTCTAGAAGTCTAGAGGAGGAACGAAGGGAATGAATAGACAGGGATAAAGACAAAGATGGAGATATCAAAAGAGAGCGAGAGAGGGTGAGAGGAGTGAGCAGAGAAGAGAGAATTCTACTCCAGAAGGCTTAGATGAGACCTCTCTCACACGTTATACACATATATGTGAACTGTTTCTGCATTGCTTCCTAAAGAACATACATGTCATAACTTCACCTTCTCTTCTCTTCCGTGTTCCATGCGCCTTTGCCTTCAACCCGCTTTATCCTTTCGCTCCTTCCTCCTTTTGGCCGCTTATTCTTCTCCTCTTCTTTTCTCTTTCTCGTCCTCTGCCTCTCTGTGTGCAAAAAAGGCGAATTTAAACTTGTAACTCTTTACGATGTTTCTGGCAGTTCTTCTGAGAAAAGTTCATGTTAAGGCTAATATTGTTTTTGTGACTGCGATCCCCATATTAACGTCCATCATGGGCTAGATTGGAGGGTCGCAGCTATACAGACCTTGATCTATACTTCCACGCTCTTGAACGTGAATGTTCGCGAGTTGAGATTCGTCATGTGGTAGGTCTTCTTGCTGTCATGGTCGCCGTGCTTCGGTGCGCACCGCTCCCACGCGTCCGATCACAGCAGCTGATCGAGCAGACGACTGTCCGACTGAAACGGCGGCACGAGCAACACAAGGATCACGCGATCCGAGTGTCAAAATTTGGGAAAGTCAAACTATTTTTTAGGGAAGGGCGGTGGTTAAGTAATTGGTTAGTAGTTAGGGTAAGTGTTGCCTTGTTAGAGTAATTTAGGTTGCTGTGGCAAGTTGGAGAGAAATCAAAGAAACCATTTATTTCCTTCAGGAAACTGGAGAGTGTGGCTCAAAGAAAGGATACCATCATAAAATTCTAGACAGATCCATTAACCACTGCATCCGTGTCGATAGAATCATGCAGCCGGTGATTGTCAGGGTGGTGGGATGCTGCGCATGCAATGATGTTCGCATACTGACAGACTCTGCAGGTGTCCAGGTGAGGTAGGTAGCTGAAGCTGGCACTGTGATGAAGCCGCAGGGGAACTGAGAGCATTATTTCCCACGTGGAAGAAGAAGATGTGTTGTAGCTCCCTGCATGGAGTAACATAACTATCTTAGCGTATCGTGGCCAACCAATCATAACTACTCGCAATAACAGATAACGATGCGTGGGCCTGTGAGCCTCTACCTCACATCACCTCTTCCCTGTGCTCCTCCTCTCCCCCACTGCTCTCTCGTCCTTCCTTCCCTCTTCCCGCTCTCAACCCTCCCGTCCCCTTTCTCTCGTCTTAATTTCCCCTCCCCTCCCTCCTCACCCCTTCCTTTTACTCATCCCCTCTCCCCTTCCCTGCCTTTCCCTTCTTCCCTTTCCTTTCGTTTAGCCATCCTTCTCACGCCATCCTTCTCACCCATCTTCACCTCCCTCCCCCCCCCTCCCATCACTCACGGCGGTGGCTAGCAGCGCTGATGAGGCCATCGAGGGCGATGGCTGTGACAGCGGCCGGCTGTGAGGCTTGTTACACCTGTGTGAGCACCAGCTCGCTGCTGCCGGCGTTGCTGCGACGATATGTCCTCTCCACAACGATGCAGCGAAGACGAGCGAGAGCGCGCACCAACGCCGTCGCTGAAGCCTGCAACCAGCGTAGAGCGCGCCGGTCCACCTGCAAGGCAAGCATAGAGTCATAGACCGGCGGTCCACCTGCAAGGCAAGCATAGAGTCATAGAGCCGCGCCGGTCCACCTACAAGGCAAGCATAGAGTCATAAAGCCGCGCCGGTCCACCTGTAAGGCAAGCATAGAGTCATAGAGCCGCGCCGGTCCACGCTACAAGGCAAGCATAAGAGTCAAGAGGCCGCGCCGGTCCCACCTGTAAGGCAAGCATAGAGTCATAGAGCCGTGCCGGTCCGCCCAAGGCAAGCATAAGAGTCATAGAGCCGTGCCGGTCCACCTGCAAGGCAAGCATAGAGTCATAGAGGCGCGCCGGTCTGCCTACAAGGCAAGCATAGAGTCATACGAGCCGGCCGGTCCACCTGTAAGGCAAGCATAGAGTCATAGAGCCGTGCCGGTCCGCCTTACAAGGCAAGCATAGAGTCATAGAGCCGTGCCGGTCCACCTGCAAGGCAAGCATCAGAGTCATAGAGCCGCGCCGGTCTGCCTACAAGGCAAGCATAGAGTCATAGAGCCCGACCGGTCCACCTGTAAGGCAAGCATAGAGTCATAGAGAGCCGCG